CTCCCACCCCCACGCCGGGGAGGCGCGAGTCCCTGGCGCGCCGTGCGGAGAGCGCGTGCCTGGCCCTGCACACTCACCCTCCCGGCTCCCGGCACGGCTGTCCCACGGGCTCCGAGGAAGAGGCTCCGAACGCCGGCGCCCCGCACAATGACAGAATGCGGGCTGCGGACGCAAGGGCCACCCGCCCCCGGGAACCCGGACCGGTTCACCTGGACGCCCGAGGACCGTGTCCCCGTGACACCGTGGGGGGGCGACGGCGATGCTGTGCCTCCCTTGCTGGGGCCCCGAGCACTTACGGATGGACACGTCACACTGCCGTCCCGTGCTCATGACGCGGTCCCTGCGTGGGCTCAGATGGAGCGTGCCGACCGCACCGACGCGTCATCACCCGGCGTCTCCTTACGTGCCCGGGACGTGAATGCTAGGGCCCTGCGCTGAGCCTGGCCGGACTGGCCGAAGGGACGACGGAGGAGCACGATGACAGGAGTGCGACAGGTCGGGAGAGGGGCCGCCCCCTCGGATCGAGGAGGCACCTGCGGGGAGCCCAGGTGGCCGCAAGGCCCCGCCCAGAACTCTCCTCCACACTCCGGGGGCAGCGCCCAGGCGGGGGCGGCCGTGCCCCTGCGCGTGTGAGAAGACGCCCGGCTCCACGGTGGCCAGCAGGTAAGGCACGCCACTTGTCCGCGCGACGCGTTTTCCCTCCGGTCCTCTCGGGTGCTGACACCCTCTGGCCGGCTGGATTCCTCCTGTGTGGTTCTGTGTGGTCCTGTGTGGTCCTGTGTGGTCCAGTGTGGTCCAGTGTGGTCCAGTGTGGCCCCGCGTGCACGAGGGTTTGTTTGCGCCCTCCGCTGTCCGCATAGGCCATGGGGCCAGCTCACTCGTGTCACCACCTCTGGACCAGCTCTGGTCTCCAAAGGCCCCCATGAGGGCTCCTCACTGCTCCCCCGGGACACCTGCGAAGGTGCCAGCAGGGGCTCCAGCCACGCCCATCGTGTCACTCCCAGGACCCCCCAAACAGGAAAGCAGCCCGCATTACCTTGCGCCATCCTTCTCTCCAACCCCACTCCCAGCTGGGCAGTGCTTCCCGTGTGTCCTCAGCTCCCAAGCATTGGGGCCACAAGGCCACCTTGCCTCTTCTCCTGCCCCCAGAACGTGGAGGGAGGTGACGATGGACTCCTGGGGAGGCTGGCAGGGGTCAGGTGTCAGGCGGGGAGTGACGTGGGGTTGGGGAGGGCTCTGCTGCAGGTGAGCCCCATTCTGTTTTGCGAGTCTGGGGGGTGGGCACACCTACGCCTCCCCGCCCTCCCGTCAGAGAGCCGCCTGCACCTCCAACAGCAGGTGTGGGGGGCCCAGAGCCCGGGGGTAAGGAGGATGTAAGGCCACTGGTCACCTGTTCAGAAGGGGCTCAGTGAGGTCTTCGTCTGAGACAGCGTCTGGGAACATGTTCCCTTAGAGAAGCACATTGCAGATGACAGCACGGGTGAGCCTGGTACACGACCCCAGGCACAGGCCGTATCTGAACCCGGTATCCCCAGGGCTGCAGGCACGGCCTCTGGCTACAAAGGGTCCTGTAGAGACTGTTCTGGAATGGACCTGCCCAGCCCCCACCCTGGTCCCCAAGATGCCCGAGGACCACAGGAGGGCGCCTTGACCCAAACCAAACCTGCCTGGAGCTCGGGGTCTCCTCTCAAGGGAAGGCACTAAACCCTCTGTCTGCACCCCATGACGAACAGGAAAGTGCCGACCCACCACCATCGCGGTTCTGGTGGTTCAGCAAGGGTAGTCCATAGTCACCTCCTGACCTCAAAGGTCACCATAGGGGGCGAAGGACAGTGAACACGGTACACTGTAGGGCACACGCTCATATGGAAACATGCTGCCCAGAGTCCCCAGGAAGGCCCCATGAGCAATAGGGCCTCTTCTCTCCTTCAGCCTCCCCCGTGAGCCAGCCCAGGCTCAGCGGTCTGCTTTGTGGTGTCCGGTGTCCAGGGTGGGGATCGCCTCTCCGTGTCCCCAGAGCCGTGAGCAGCCCCACCTGTGGAGGGGAGCCGAGGCCAGGCGAGGAGGGCTGGGGGACTGAAGGGCACTGGGCAGGCCCCCTCACGCCATCCCTCCAGGACAGAGCTGCTCCTCGGATGCGGAGACCCAGGTGGCCTGTCCAGCTCCTGCCCCAAGATGCTCCCACTGGGGAGGTCGGGGTGGAAGGCAGCCGTGTCACCCACGTGAGGACAGAACAGAGCTGGCAGTGCAGGCGACACCAGCTGGACGCCCACACGGCAGCCTCCTTGCCGGGGTGGGCCACTCGCAGGCCTGTGACACAGGGCCCCACGGGAGAGCGCCTTGCCATCCACCCGCCACCGGCTTCTGGTCAGGGAGGGACTCATTTCCCCGCCCTTTTTCAAAAACTGGGTAAATTTGACGACAGTTTGCAAGTCCGAGGTGTACAGCGGTTCCTTTGATGCGTTTGTGTCGTGGTGTGATGGCATCGAAGCGCTGTCACCGCATCGTGTCACAGTGACAGCATCGTTATCATGGTGACAGCATTGTTATCACATCACGGTGACAGCATCGTTAGCCACGCATGGGGGGAGACTCTCCAGTGCTCTCCCACGCAGGAAAGCAGCGCGTGAACAGCCGGGACACAGCCGTCCTGCCGCACAGGTGGGGCTGGCTGCCGGGACATTCAGTGAGGGGTGGCAGGGAGAGGCCGAGCCGCAGCCCCAGCAGCCGCTGCACCTGGGGGGCTGTGCCGCTTAGATTTTTATTTTTCAGTTCGAGTTGACACTCAGTGTTACTCTGTATTAGTTTCAGGTGTACAGCATAGTGAGTTCCATCTACGCGACTCACGGTGATGCCCTGCCTAAGTCTGGTACCGTGGTACCACCTGACGCCTCATGCAGTTGGGACAGTGTCGTTGACTGTGTTCTCTGCTGCGCTCCACATCCCTGTGATTGTTTTGTAACTGCCAGTTTGTACTGCTGATTCCTTTCACCCAGCCCCCCAAACCCCCTCCCACCTGGCAACCGTCAGTGGGTTCTCTGTATCTGTGAGTCTGTTTCCGTTTTGTTTGCTAGTTTATTTCGTTCTTTAGATGTGAGATCACGTGGTATTTGTCTCTGTCTGACTCATTCAGTCAGCGTAAGACCCTCAGGGTCCATCCATGTTGTTGCAAATGGTGCCACTTTGAATTTGCTCAGTCAGGTGAAAAGAGACCCCCAAGGCTGCTTTGTGGGGGCCGCCTGGCACAGAGCAGGGAGCAGCTTATCAGAAGTGGGGCTCCTGGGGCCCTTCTGGGGCTTCTCCCCCACGACGTTCTAGTTTGTCATCTCTAGAGTGGGTTTGCAAATGTCAGGAAAGAGTTGCCATCTAAATTCGCAGCCCCTGAGGGGTCTTTTGTGCTGTCGTCTCTTATTTATCTAGCCTCTGTGTAGCATCTGTCTATCATCTATCACCTGTCATCTCAATCAATCCTTATTAACTGTCTATGTAGCGGTCTCCCCCTCCCCCACTCCCTTTCTCTCTCATAAAACCGTGAGTTCATAGTGACCCCTCAAGCCTGGGCCAACAGTCCTAGACTCATCCCAGCCTCCCACGGCCTCATCTGTAACCCATTCTTGGGCGCCGGAGACTTGGCTCTCGCTATGCACCATACCCGTGCTCGCTTGCTCAGCCCTTGTGAGCACAGAGCATCTGCAGAACCGCCGACTCACGCGCCCCATGAGATACAGACTCATTAGCTAGGGTGACATTTGGGTCTAGGTCCTTTTGGCTTTAGCCTTGTAGTATCCAGACAAAATACTGTTCTCCAAAATGACCTAGGTGGGTCCTTTTCTTTCCCGCCTGGTCACCTTGTTCATTCGTCTGCTCGTCACGTGTCAGGTGTGTTTGTCACAGCTCGGATTCCACTGGGGCTTCCCCCGCACATTGATTCACACAGGAAAGTTCACTGTGTGTGGTGCACAGGTCTCTGGTTTTGTCACACATGCGTGTCCAACACAGTCACTATATAGGACAGTGCCATCAGCCCCACACTCCCTCTTGTTGCCCTCTGCAGTCACCCTGGCCTCAGC